ATGTGACGTATCATAAAATACAGAGATTACCATAAAATAACTAATTTATTTATGAAACTGATCATAGTAAAAAAAAATAATAATATTTACCATCGTATTAGGCGGTGGCGGCGACAACGAACTCTGATTTTTTTTTGTTGAATATCATGTTAGTCAGTGGCGATAATTTCATATTTCAGAACTTTAATGCTTTCAGTTTTAAGATTTTTATACTTACTATGTACTGCAGCATAGAATTAGATGGTGGGGAATTCTGAGATATGAAGAAAAAATTTGAGCCTTATTTAATTTCTATCTTTTTAAATAAAATCAATTCTTATCATGAAAGATATATTATCATCATTCTCGCTTGGCGATTGATTTTGAACCCAATTTTCATTAAATTCATTTTCGTTCTCATATTCATCGTTTTCAGTCTGAATGTTATCTTCATTATTATCAAACTGAATATTATCACAGTCTTCAATTTCAACGTCATCAGGAATATTTTCTTCATATTAAATTCCTTGAGACCAAAGCTGATCTAAAAGAATACAATTGCCACGAGGCTCATGACTAAAAACCAACTCAAATAGTCTTTTATTAGTAGCATGACATACAGATAAATTCATTGAATAAATTACAGTTGCCAAGCCAACTGTCCAACATAAATCATCATTTTCATTTTGTCGATCCTCAAGCCACTTTCCAAGTTTGTCCTTTAATACAAAATTTGCCCTCTCTACAGAACCTTGGGTTTGCGGCCTTCTCGGTTTTTCATGGATTATTTTAAGATTTGGCCAGAGTTTTGAGAGATTGTTAATAATATCTGCAGTGAACTCACGCCCATTATCACTTTGAAGAAAGATCGGTGGTCCAAATACAGTAAATATGTCAAACAAGAACACAGCCACCTTTGCTGCACATTTATTAGTAAGAATGCGGCCCCAGGAAAAACGTGAGAAATAATCTCTGGCATGTGCTATCCATTTAAATTCACCATCTCTTCTAGTTCGCATATCTATAAGATCAATCTAGTAAAAAAAAAAAAAAAGTTATTTATTAATTTTTTTTTAATTAAAACCTTTTTTTTAAAAAAAAAATCATCTCATACCTGAAGCTGTTGCATAAAAAACTTGCTAATAATAGGTCTTATGGCTAAAGGTTTGCTAGATAATCTGCGTGTTTTACATGTTTTACACATTTCACCAAATTTATCAACCAAGCATCTTTTTATACCATGATATTTATCTGATACTTGTTTATAAGTAGCTCTTGCACCCCCATGTCCAACAGCCAGATGCTTCTCTGCGATAATATAGTATAATCTTTCTTTTAAAGCTACAGGTTTCCAATTATTTGACGATTTCTCTTTATGCATTAATATTACAATTCCACCGATCCTTTGAGATGAATAGTTATTTTTAACATGGTGACGTATATTAGGATTTGAAATAGAAGTATTTTTAGGGTCATTTAAAATCTGCAAATATGCATTAGCAATATCCTCTGTAATTAATGCTTTTGATCTTTTTTTTTCACTTAATGATAGTAAGTATTCATCCATAATTTCATTAAATATTTGATATGATAAAAAAGTATATTCGTTAGGTGAATCCATCAGAAAAAAAAAAAATTTGAAAAAAATTTTTTTTATAGTTAATTTTTAAACTCTGACTATCGCACTATTATGTAAAATTTTCTTTATAATAAATATGTATTTATAATATAATTTTATAAAGTTAATTTTATAGCAAAGTTAACTTTATAATAATTAATTTTATGGTACTTTATAATAAATTAGTAGTACTTAGAAGCTTTCAAAAATTTCTTATAAAATTGTTTTATACTAAACTTTATAATAAAATTTTTTTATTATACATAGTAGATTCGTTGTATAGTATTAAAAAATTTAAAACCGATTGTTAATTGATTATTACTTATTACTTTCTAAAAATGTAAATATGATCTGCAATTTGCATATGGTGCAAGATTGATAGCCCAAAATCAAATTGTCATCTGGGCTATCCCAATTGACAATCGGGCCGATTGTCATTTGGGGTACAACATAATAATGTAAAAATTAATTATTTATATTAATATATATAGATATATATAAAATAATAAAGTATGATAAAAATTGTAAAAGTAAGTTAGTTGTATAATATAATAAAAGTAGTAAAAGATTTTTGTTAAATTTTAAAATTCAAGATAAGTTATAATAATAGTGTTATTTAAATTCGAGTTTGTTGTTTAGTAAATAAAAATATATAAAGATTATTATTTTAAAAATAAAAAAATATTTGTTGGTATTGAGTTCAATAAAAAGTAGCAAGTTTATTTAATAAAGAATAAGAAATCAGATATATCTGGTATTTTGAATTGTAGAAAGAAGAAGTTAGTAGAGATTTTTGTAATTTGAAGTTTTTTGATAATATATTATATATGTAGCAAATAGAATTAATAGTATTTAGATTTGATTTAAAAGATTAGAATATTAAAAAATTGTATAATATTAAAGTATGTGATAATTTTAACAAGAATATGTGAATCTGTTGTTTTTAAAAAAGTATTTTGAAGAGCATTTTTGAGATTAGTATTAATAATATTATCATTTTTAAAAGCGATAAACAGAAAGTATTTAAAATAAGTATAATAGAAGAAAGATTAGTGTTTTGGGTTAGTAATAGTATTGTTAAGTTATATAAATTTTTGTTTAGCATTTTAAGCTAGTTCTTTAAAGAACTTATATGAAAAAGGTTTTGTAAAAGTTGTAGCTAATGGTTGATTTAGTTGAAAGATTAAAAAGTCTAAATAAGAGTAAATATAATTTGAAAAAGAGTTATAAAAATAAAAGAAGTTAAGTTGCAAAAAGTATATAAAATATTGTTAAGAAGAATATTATATGTATTATTTGTATATATATATATATAATGAAGTGATACTTTGATAAATGCAGATTTTTTATTTTTTTATTTTTTATACCGATGATGTAACTATCTTCGGGCGTATGTGGCACTCTTTTATTTATGAAATTATTTTATATTTATATACATTGTAAATATTTACATATAGAGTTTATCTGTGGATTGCTATTTAAATTTGAAGTTATTATTTTTATCTCCTTGGAGATGCGATTTCTAATATATAAGGGTATTACTGTTTCTGGTATTATTGAGTTGCCTCACTTATGTGATGTAAACCAGCACCAGATTTCATAGATTGTATTTGTATAAAGCCAAAGAGCTGCTTTATAATATTTAGAGTCTTTAAAATTTTTTGCTATGAAAATTTCTTCAATTAAAAATAGAATTGGTATTTCTTTAATCTTTAGAAGTTTATAAGCTTCATTCCATATTCTTTTACTTGTATCATACTCAAACACAAAGTGTTATATTGTTTAGAGTTTATTTAGACACCAAAGACAATTTTCTGATTCTGTTGCAGATATGTGTTATAGCTGGTATCCTAATAGGAGAGCTTTGTAATACATATACTATAATATATCTTTATTCTTATTGTTAGCTGCTTTTGTAAATAGCTAGTCCATTTTAATTTTTGTCAAAAGTATGGTATTTGTTAAAGTGATTGTTTGTTTTCTTAGAATTTCTATTAGATTTTTTACTATAAAGTCCATATTTTATTTTTATTAACTATAAGGTCTTCTATCTTTCAAGGCTGGCTATGATTTGCTTTAATTTTTCCCTGAATTTTTTTCATGCTGCCAAGTATGGTTTTTATTCTGTTAGCCAGACTTTAGATCTGATTAGAATTGACGTTAGCACTTGTAATACTGTGATGTACCTTTTGTATCTTAAAGAAAAGAGATTCTGTTTCATTCAATTTTTGCTTATAGACAATCACCAGTTATTAGTTTTATCTATATAGTTAGCATCTTGATCAAGTATATTGCTAACTACTGAGGCTTAAAGACCTCTATGCTCATATGGTAACTAAAAGTTTGAGTATTTAAAAGCGTTTTTGAGTTATTTTTGATTTATATAGTGATTAGTCTGTTGATTTCTGCTACTTGCTTTCTGCTCAAAAGTAAAAGATATGCTATATACCATATTCATATGAGTATAAGTGAGTTTGTTACTAGGAATTTTCCTCTAAAGAAAAGATTTGTTTAAAAAAACTTGTTTATAAAACTTTTAATCTTTGTAGTAACCATAGTCTATAAGTCATTTTAGATATCTCATCTGAATAGATTTCATAACCTAGTATTGTAATTGCTTCTTGCTCTGTTACTTTTATAAATTGGTTTTCTTTTGTTAGCTCAACTCTTCTAACCATAACTGTAAATGATACTAGTTTTGTTTTGCTTTCATTAATTTTAGCATTAGAAGCATTTTCATATATATAAAATAAGTCTAATACTAGGTTCTAGACTGAGGGATTCCTATCTCTATTATTAGATCATCTATATATGCTACTGTTTTGAAATAGTATCCTTAAACTGGTATTCTTTGTATTTCATTTTCTATTGCTTTCAGTAATAGTTCAAAAGCTATATATAAGAAGAAAAGAAAGAAGATTTCCTTGTCAGACTCCTCTTTCTATTCTAAAAGGGCTTAAGATGTTCCCTGAATCTATAATATGTGCTTCTTAGTTTGAGAACAAATTTTTAATTACTCTTCTAAATCTTATATCAAAGTTCATCCTTTCTAATACTGTTTGTAGATATATGTAATCTACTCTGTCAAAAGCTTTTTTTTGATTAACAAAAAGCATCTAGTATTGTTTGATAATATCTGTTTGATTTCTCATCATTGTGAGAATATTCAAGGCTATATTTGCTATTGATCTTTTTATGATAAAGCTCTATTAATAATCTGAAATTATAGATTTGCAAACTTTATTTAGTCTGATGGCCAAAATTTTCATAAAAATTTTGGCATAGAGGTCAGAACTGGTTGTAAATTTTAAGACCCAAATTGGATTTGTGTATAATATAAAACCGGTTATTATTTAAGTTAAACCAGGTGGGATTCAAACTGAATTATAATCGGATAACCTTACGTAATATAATATGATGTAATTGATGATCGACAAGAACTCTGATTGGCAAAATCATTTATCTTGTTCATGTGAAATTTGAACATTGTCTTAAAGATAGTAATTTGTATTAGTTGATTGTTAATTTATTCTTTAATTCATAAACTTTAACCATCACGCACTGACCATAAAAGTTTACTTCTATTAAAAGATTGTAAAAAAGATTCGATTTTAAAAATTTGTCAAAGATAATACAAAAATTTTGCCGATTCGATTATAAAAAAGCATTAAATTTTAATTTAAATGAAAATTTATTACAATAGTAATTAAGATTTCACCAAATATATTTTATTAACAATTATTAATAGTGGCTTTGCAAAAAAAAATCAAAATTATTAGCAAAAGC